GCAAATACATGTATTCAACAGGTAAATAAATTCTTGTGTTCAGCAGTCACAGAATTCATAAAGCTAAACATGAAATGTATAAGCAGGACACTAAGAATTGGCTGTAACATGAGATGCTTGGACCTGCATGGATCTTTTCTTTTATCAGCTTTGGTGTGTCTTCCAGTTCTGGCACATCTATCTCGTGAGAGAGAATGATTTTGGTTTTGACTGCTGAATTGAGGCCTTGACAGCTGCAGCTCTCCTTCCATGCAGAGAAGAGCTCTGCTTTGGTCTGAGAGAGCAGAACTGGATTTTTGGATGCTGTCATCTTTCCTGTTTTACATTGAAAATGGATGTGGCCATGCCACAGGATGGCAGGACCAGACTTTGGCCATCCTACTCTGGGACAAGGATGCTATGCTTATTCCTGATTATTTGATAGCATTTGGATGTTGATATTGTTTCAGTATAAGGAGTGGCAATTGTTTATCTCATGACAAAAGGGAGGTTAGGTGAGAGAACACCTGAATCTTTATGGGTTTGAGGGCAAGCTTCATTCGGTAATGCAGCTGAGAAATGCACTGTGGTGTTTAGCATTGCCATACAGAGGTCTTTTAGAGAGAAAACAAATAGTAGATGCTAAGTCACTGTCAGATACTGTGCTCTGAACAGGCCTGAGGAATAATGTGCGGCACGGCTGGTGTAGGTGTACACACCACACAGAGTTAAACATACGAACAGCAGGCTCACACTGTGCTTACTACAGATGTCTGAATGAGTGAGTGCCTGCGGGCTGGAACTGCATGTCTTGTGGCTTTCACTCTGCTCCGTTGGGAAGTCTTCACTCCTTTTGTTTTTATCCTTTTCCAGCTCTAGTACTTTGGAGCACACAGCTCCCATCCCCTGACCTAACAGCTCCATTGAAGTGCATTCCAGCCTCATGATTTCATGGTACCAGGCAGAAGTCCCCTGCCACGCTGCTATGCTGCCCGCTGCTTCTCACAGAGTGAACAAACAGGGAACATAAACTCTCTCCAAAGGAGCAATGTTCTCTGTATATTTTTAGTGCAAGAAATCCAAGATTCATTTGAGGGTGTTTCGTGTGGGCTTTTTTTAATATAGGCTTCTGCTAACACAATGGAATATTTCATGCCACCCTGTTTGCTGTAACTTCTCATGCCTTATGTTGTTAAATGGAATCAAAGGAGTTAAAGATGAAAGACTTCTTGTCAACTGGTCCCTCAGCTGGGAGCCAGTATGGGTTTGTTCTTTGTAATGGATTTACTAATGCTTTACTCAGGTTCAGCCTAGCTCAGTTTTCACTATTGGATTTACTTATTTCTGTGAATTCTCTACTTCAGGTTAAGTAATTGCTGAACTTAGACTGAACATAATACTGTTACTGTTTGTTTTTAATGTTTCACTTGCTATTTATTGCCGTTATACTGAATAAACCTTTTGTAAGTATTTGTTTATCATTTGAACATACAAAGCACCATTAAAGATGTCATGCTTGCTTTCACAGGTATTCTCTTTAATGGATAGAGAACTTGGTTCTTTCTTTATATGAAACTGTGTCCATTGGACATTGTAGATTGTGTGTTTTCTTTTCAACATGTAGTGTGTCACCAGATGCTAATTTATGTAGTATTACAACAAACCTACCTTTCATTAGCTCATTGTTAGCCTTTGAACATTTGGAGTTAGTACAGTGTTTGAACATACAGTTTATGCTGAGACTCTCATGTCTTGTATTTGCTTGGTGAAAGACATTCTCAAACTTCCTATTTAAATGTTACTATTGCATTTTTATGTATTGTGTGTATTATACTCACATTAAAGGACCCAATTTTGCCAACACATCCAGTATGTTCATAGTAACATCACAGACTGGACAGTGATCCGAGAAGTTGAAAAGGCAGATAGTGAACATCTTATGGGAAGCATACAAAACAAGGACTGCAGCTGCAAAAGGGACAGAGTCTGTCTGCCTTGGGGACCAACAAAGTTTTTAGGCAGAACGGTTCTCCACAGAATCAGGGTGTCAGCACTTTTTGCATCAAGGTATTGTCACATGGGCTGATCTATGCTGACTGCACAGAAATTCCTGTGCCCTGGCATAACACACAGTTACCCCAGGGGTTAGAGCTGCTCCTGCACTGAAGTAGCACCAGCTTCAGGATCCCAGGGAGAAGCAGCAATAACATCAGGAGACGTGCCAGGTGATGCTGTCTTTTACTAGACTAAAGTTGGAAGATGTGCAAGTTTCTTTACTATGCTTTAAACTTGATCATCCTAACGTACTTTAATTGATGTGGATCCATAGTGGATTTCTGGCACATGGTAACGTTTCTTAGCTTTAATAACTGTGCAGGTAGAAAACATGTTCTCTATAAAGTCACTGGAGTCAAGGCAGTAATAGCTTAATTAGTAATAATAGTAATAATCTTAACATGGCATTCTCTGTGCCTTCTTACTGTCTGGATACTCAGTAAGAGCTGTATATCAAGTGCTATATGTAAGAGCTCTTTGGGGAAGCAAGGGATGTAAAGCACAAGTGGAGGAAGAAGAGAATACAGGAGGGATAAAATTGTCTGATAAGAAAATGGAATAGGCCTGTAAGAAGTATGGTCTGTGAAGAAAAGTGTTGTTAAACAGAAAGTAAGCAGTACTGTGGGGAGAAGTAGTTGTGGGAAGGAGCATCAGGATTTGAACTTAGGGAGGGGAAACATGGACATGAAAAAAGGCTTTGTGCTCTGACAAACAACCAACTGTTCTGGGATCCCAGTAGGGGTAGAACACCATGTTAGTCGTCAACTGTTTGCTTCCAGACTTCTTATCTTGGTTAAGAAACATAGGAAGCAAAAGACAAATGTCATGCCTGTTGCATTGCCTAGCAGCTGCTCTAGGCCTGTAGTAGTAGAAGTACAGCTCTGAAGTCCAGTGAATCCCAAGTTTCTGTAAGACTTCATCTCATTTATATACGTTAGAATATTGAATGCCTCCTTCGGTAGGAGAGCACCTGGCCATTCTCAGTGTTAACAGGAAGCTGGCTGTAGTCCTAGGCCAGGTAGTAGCTTAGTGGGAGGTGAGTGGATTGTGTGAGTGGTGAGAAATGCTCTGATATAGGTTCCTAGGAAAACAAGGAATCAAGTGCCAAGTGAGAGATTGAGTGTCATAATTCCGTTTTTGTATAATGAAGAAGAGAGGTGCATGGGTGGTCAAGGACTGGAACACAAGGACTGGAAGCTGGAATTGCTGTTGGAAGAAGTGGTGTGCTTTTCATTGCTTCAGGTGATTACCTTGAAGCTCCTGTGCTGGAGGTTCTCCAAGAACACTTAGAAACTGACTCAAGAATATACCAGAAGTCAAGAAGATGTTTGGGATGGGGTGAAGGAGTTGCCATCAAGACTTAAATATGTAGGCATTTATGTGAGCAGGAGAAGTTAGCATGCCAGCTAGCCCAAAGCTGCTCTTGTCTGTCAGCACAAACACTTAAACATTGGATAAGAAAATTGTCTTGATCTGAAAAACAAGTTTACTTTAAAAGAAAAGAGCATTTTTCAGCAAATTTAGAAAGAAATAGTCTAGGCTTTTCTAAGCTATAGATCGTGCTTAAAGGTAAAAAAGTCCTATTCCACTCGGAAACACTTCCTCATTAATTTTTCTGAAGTCTGAGTCAAAATGAATTAAGTCAATTTGAAGTATTTTTTTAACAGTTAAAAATAATGGTAGTTGGCCTTGACTTTTACTGCCATTTTGTGTGGTTTAATAGCTGTATGACTTCTTTTTCTCCCACACACATTTGTAAGAGATTCACAGAAAAGAAAACAGACTACATCAGTAAATAAATTCTTCCTGCTAAGTTATAGATGTCACTTATAAAAGTTAGCAGGAAAAAAAATCATGCAGCCACAAGCATAATGAGGTTGGATGATCCTGCCACATAACTGATTCTGAGGATTTGTATTGTACAGCTTGCTATGGTGGAGGGGACCCTCTTTTATAAGTTGAGCAGTCTTGCATGCTTTTGCAATTCTGCATGTAGCAGGCATTTTCACATGAAACATTGCTGAGCTACTTCTGAATATGGTGAAATTCTTTGGGAAGGTCGAGGAGGTAATTGATCATATGCTGACAGCTCAGGGCTCTGAGAAAATGGTCAGATGGAGGGCTGGGATGCAGGAAAACAAACTTTTTGAGATGGTAACTGTCACTTAGCCAAGCTATACATGTTTCAAGCTTTTTAATCTTTCCTCACAACCTCAGCTTCTTAGTCGTTTTTTGTTTTTGCTGTTTCTCTGTGAACTCTTTTCCAATGTTGACATTTTACTGGGCCTGATGCATGGGCAGTATTCCAGGTGTGATCTTGAGCTATAGCCGTATTTCTTTGTAGCGCTCTTTTAGAAATTCTATTGCTGCCAAAATGGGGAGTTTCAGAACTTTGATGATCTCTCTCATTATTATTTGACCTTTGGGTCAAGAAGTAGGTTTCTTTCAGGAACTGCTCAAAATGTTCTTTGCAGCTAGAAAAATAAGACTTCAGTGTTCATGGGAGTTAAGATGGCAATCTACTGGGACATTGCATGAGTTTACAACAAAAATGTTTGAATTTCTCTACACTGTGACCCTAATTTTCTATATCAGAGTGGATATAGAAACTAAGAGAAAAATACAACTTTGGTGCGAAAGAAGATGAGAGAATCTACCACTTGGTTTCTGAGACCAACTTTTCTCCAATCTTGTTTACAGCTGTAGTTTTTTGCATATGCAGTCTGACAGTTTAAAATTATGGTAGTTGTCAGTCTCTGCTGTAAGATAGAGTATTTTAACTGACTTACTGCAATTATCAGTTCTGAGGTCATTTATATATTAATACACCCACAGGAGGGGAGAAGAGACAGGCATAAATGAGGCTTTTTAAATTGCTTTTAAATACAAAAGAATCTGTCAAAAAAGAAAAGAAAAAGAAAAAAAAAAAGAAGGCGTGTGTTAATTTTGCCAATGCTTTGTCACAGAATATGGTCGTGGATCGGATTTTCTCTGGTATCCAGCCAACTGGGACCCCTCATCTGGGTAACTATCTTGGAGCCATTCAGAACTGGGTGAATCTGCAGGAAAAGTGCAGCTCAGTGCTCTACAGCATTATGGACATGCATTCTCTCACCATGCCCAAGGAGCCAGCTGTCCTGCGCCAAAACATCCTCGACACCACTGCTGCCATCCTTGCCTGTGGGATTGACCCGAAGAAGTGTTTCCTGTTCCGGCAGTCACTGGTGAGTGCTCCTGTTGTGTTGGATTTGTTTCTGATTAAGTGGCTTTCCACACATCTTATTGAATGACTGTAGCATTGCTGAACTCCTTTATCATGTTGGTGGTCCTAGAAAATGTTAACAGTGTTGGATTTTAAACTTATCCCTTGCTGCAGTTTTGAAATTTTGTAGGCTGCCACGATGACTGAGAAGCCCATTTAGGGATAAGTGCACTGTAAATTTCTGAAGCAGAGATAGGAGTTTGTGTAGGTTATGAATAAAATACTTCAAAGACCTCTTAGAAGACACCTAATTTGGCTCTGTAACACTTCAGTCACAAAAGGTTAAATCAAAAATGCATAAACCTGGCGTGTGTAACCATAAATGTACGGAAAACGCATTTCTATGCTTTTATATCAGCTCTTGCCACTTTTTCTGCCAGCTGCACAGTAATCACGAAGTAACAGGTGATTAACATGGTAAGTTCTGTATCAATTCCACCGTGATCATCAGGGAGTTACTTCTCTGGGATTTATTTTACTTTCTTTACTATAACCTCCTTTTCATGTGCATGCTTTTCCATCTGATCGGGTAATTCTTATGTAAACCATGTGCTTCTCTTGACTACTCCAAGGGGTAGAGGGCTTATCTTCCCACTTGGCATATAGCTATCACATGTTTTATATTTCTGGAACACAACTTAGTTTCTTGCTCGATGAACTTTCTGTTACTGACTCTAGACTGGCAAACTTCTGTAATTTCTACAGACACAAATGTGTCATAGCTTCTGCTCTTGTGAAGACACCCATAAATGGGTGTCCATCTTGCAACAGAATTGCAAAGGTGATATGTGCACAGGATCTGAATTTTGTTGATGCAAGCTGAAATGGTGTTGTATTCTCCCTTTCAACACAATTCTTTATAGTCAGTTTCCTGGGGTTGTTAAACTGCAAATGGCAATCATAGCTCTCTATCCCTGGTGAATAATGAATTGATGAAGACAGATATACTTCCTGCTTCACTTTTCCTCTGTATTAAAAATCCAGTCTAAATAGATGAGCTCAGAATTCTAGTGGAGATACGTTTAAATAAATACACCCCATTTTTTTCAAATCTGTTTATAATTTTAAACATGTTACCTGCTTGGGTTTTAATTTTCCTCTCCTCTGACTTGTCAGCTTCAAAATGATGAAGTCATTAGCTGGAATAATCGCTAGGTGAGTTACACGCCAATGATGCAGTAAAAACCAATCTAGAGAGGGTTTTTTTCTTGTTTTCAAGCAACTGAACAGTTAAATTAGTTACAACAGAGGATCAGTGACTAGATATGCAGAGAGGGCTCTTCAGCATGAAGGGTAAATGCTTTGCAGGTTACGGTTAGAGAGGAAGAAAGTGAAGGTTTATAAAACTGCAAGTGATATGGAGAAATTTTTTTATCCACTGAAGAATGTGAACTGACATATCAAAACAAGTTAACACCTGGATGATTCAACACAAGCGTAACAATGCTGCATTTCACAAAATCCACAACTGAGATACAGAACCCGTTTACACAGGATACAGTGCATGCTGAAATTTATATGAATTCAGAAAGGACTCAACAAATTAATCGGAAAAATTGCTTTGGGACTGTTGCATATCTGAGCAGTCCCCTCTACAGGAAGTGGTGAAAGCACAGATGGGAGAATATCCATGCTTTTCTGCACTTACGTTCTTTTTTTTCATTGGTTGCTGTCAGAGATGGATATTTGATCTGGTTCAGTGTTGCTTTTCTTATATTCCTACAGGTCTAAAAGCTAAATTAGTGCTGTTCCAGGTCTTGCTAAAACCGACACTCAGGCTTCACCTTGAAGCCAGCAGATTATCAGTGAGGATCTTGTATTGCACTCAGCCACAGAAAAATATCTTTCACAATATAATAATGCAGAGATTGAATCTTTGAATCCCCAAAGAGAAAGTGTCAGACTCAGGAAATGATGGCTCTTTGTGCAGTGATTCTACAGTACCAATACAGTCAAAAGCTAGTGAAAACCTAAGACAGCTAAACTTGAACATGTTCAGCTTTATCAAATGGAAGTTTCCAACAAATATGATTCTGATTTTCCTTATGGTGGATAGACTGGCCTCAATTAAATAGACTGCCTTTTTACCTTAATTTTTCTGTGTTCTTATCTGTCCAGATGTAATGGCCATTGTTCTTATTAAATCTAAACCATTAGATTAAATATTTGAGCTGTGTCTGATGTCTTGAATGTTACGTTTGCTAATACTTACCACACAAGTATCCATACAACTTTCAGAAGTGGCTGATTCCAGCATGTTTTTGAAAGCTCATTGTCACACTGCAATCAGAAGAACTGTTACAGTTGTTTGTGAATATAGACTGTTTCGGCTCTGTTTCAGGCTGCAGTGGTTTGTCAGGTTCCCCAAACCAAGTCTGTACAAGCTGTATGAAGTGGTCAGGTATAGCCAGAGATGCAGTATGATCTGTTACATTTACATAGGCAGCACCAGATGTTTCTCTGGAAGCAATTAAAAGGAGTGTCTGCGTGTAGCTCTTGATGTGAGGAAAGGAGACAGGACCCTTGCTAATGTGATTATTGTTAGTATGATAATGAAATAGTACGTTATGGAATGTCATAATATCAAGATGATTGTTCCTAAAAATGAAGGTGTAAGATGGATTGCAGCTATTGCTAATCAAGAAAGTTTATTGCTTGATTTTGATTGGAAATTTCTCAGATTTCAAAAAAAAAAAAAAAAAAAGGAGCTGGCCTCCTTTTCAGCCACTGTAGCAGTCTCCAAGGGGGTCTAAAAAAGCCCCACTTTAGCTTACAAACATTTGGCTGAGGTGTAAAGCAAAGTGACCAAAACTGATTGTATACTGAAATAGGGTGTGTACTTCCAGAGGTCAGCAGGAAGGCAGTGAAAATCCAGCCACAAATAGAGAACTGGGTTAGGTATTTAGTTATGGACTGAGTAGTTTTTTTTAATGGCAGATCAAACTGCTAAATGAGAGAATTCTCAGTAGCTTAGCATGGTGTAATTATTGTTGTATTTTGAGTTCTATCTAGAAAATTACCAAATCTGTAGATCACAGAAATATTTCTTTAATTACTCCTGAATGGCATTTCTGTTCTTTTTTTTAAACAAACATCCTGCAACAAAATTATTCTTTATGAACTTTTAATTTAATCACCAAAACCCACCATAACTGATGACTTTTTCTGTACCCTGATTCTATAGCAGTAAAGGTGGAATGAAATTCTTGCACTAAAGAAGTATATGTTATTAATATGTATATTACTAGTAATGGTAAGCCCCAGTAAGGGAATTGCTCATGCAGTCATTCATGTAAATGTATTGTGTTCTCTCCCTTTCTCTGGATTACACTGGGCAAGAGTGGTCTAGAATTGCTGAAAAGGGGTGGTTTTTTTGTTCTTTATTTGTTTGTTTGGCTTATTCTTTTTATGTTTTGCTGCTTGTGTTGCTTCTCTAGGATGTTTGCCATATGTGAAAAGAAATAATGCTACTTGGTTTCTCAAAATGCCTGTGCTTTTTGGTAAGGTTTTCACTTATTTTACTTACTTAGGCTTTTTTGCAAATCTCTAATCCAGAGAATTTGAAATACCTGCCTTCAGAGTTTTCACACATTTCATCATCCTTTTCAATGCAAGAGACAAAACAGGCTGAGCAATATGAATCACAGACTAACTGCTGGGAGAAAGTGTGGTGAGAACAGATACTTCTCATGCTTATACTAGATCCAAAAGGTGCTGCTGTGATAAGGATACAGGTGAAGTTGACCTGGAATCCCAGAACAGATTTCAGTGATGTCCTCACCTTTCAACTAAAATTAAATAAAAGTGACAGAAATCTTGCATAGGCAAATTTTTATTGTACTGTTTAGAGAGCATATGGCCTATGTTCTCATCTGTTGGATATACAGCTATTACCTATAAATGGAAAGTGGTAGTTGGATGAAAATTAGTTTAATATGCTTCAGAGTTTACCATTTATAGATTGTATTGTTTTAAAACATGTACAAACAGTAAGTTAATGGCTGGCTGCATATTTGATCTTAATACATTGCAATTCACCAAATACCTCCCACACTTATATTGCCATATAAAAACTTGAATTCCAGCCTAGGGAAGTAGTGGCTACAAAGAACAAGTGATGATGATTTGAAAATATTTAGAAGCAAGAAGGGTTGCGATGAATAATTGGGGTAGTGTTTGGAACCACATTGTCTGTGAAGGGTTATGAACAAGCACATTTAATTAGAATATCTAGAAAAACTGTATGTTGGACAGTGAGATGGCCTCCCAGTGAGAGAAGCACTTTCATTACATCTTGTATAATTATATTTTCTCAAGTAGGAATTTATTTAAAAGTGACAGTTTTAGTAAGAATAAAAAATAAAAATAAATGCATATTTCAAAGTAGTGCATTTTTATTTGGAGTACAGCTGCAAGATGTATGAAACCCTCTTAGAGAAAATAATGTCAAGATATGCTTTAAGTGGCTGCCTTTGCCTACCAGGCATAAAAAAGAAGTTATGGAATAATGACTTATACAACATATCATGAAAGTATTAGAAGAAACTGAAAATATATTCCTTAAATTGTACCATAACTGATAAAAGCTGTAACAGTCATCTGTTGTAAAACTTAGATCTTTTATTAAAACCAAAAAGGACTGGGGGGGGCAGTAAATAAGGAAGACAGTATGCCATCTACACACATGGTAAATTCATATGATATAACCCATTTTCTCTGACTCGTGGTGGGTACACTACACATTTCAGTTCTTACCCATAACCATCTTGTATCTCATCTGCTTCACAGTCAAAACAATATTAGAAACTGATTTTGCTTTTATGTGGTCTCAGGCTGTTCTTCCTGTCCACCTATCTATTGTAGTAGACACATGCTTAATGTCCCAAGAGAAACTAAAATTCCATCAGAGTTGATTCAGCAGGCGGTGCTTGATACGCTGCATGAACACTTCTCTGAGGAGTC